ATCTGATTCTAGTGCAAAATTAACTACTACAATTAGATTTAGTTCGACACCAAGTCAGCAAGAATTAATTAGTTGTATATCTAAATTAGAACAGGATTTAGAAAAACTGCAAAAAATTGCCAAACGACGACTGTTGAAAATAAATTGTTTGCGTCAAAAGACAAGACGTTTAAAAAATAAAAATCTGGATTTAAAGTTAAGATTAGGAAAAAATAGAAAAAGAAAATTTACTTATTCTGTGAAAAATAATCCAATAATTGAAAATTATTTACAGAAAGAAATAGGAGAAGATAAGCGTAAATATTCTTTAAAATTGAAAATTCGCTTCAAACTATTTATCACCGCGAGCATACGATTATGTGCGCAATGAATTAAAAGATATTTTGCCACACGCAAAAACAATATGCAAGTGGTATCAATGTATCCAATGTGATCCAGGATTCACTACAGAGGCCTATGAAGGTAACAGAACAGAGCTCACAGAATACCAGCGTAAAATAGTAGCTTAATGCTGCTGTGTTTCGTATGATGAGTGTAGAGAACCGGAGACCCTTTTCACTGGAAACGAGGCATTCCATCTTAGTCCTCACGGGTGACAACGCATCTGCATTTTGATTCGTAATCGAGGATAGATGTAGATGTCTATGGACCACAGCAACCACTTACCATCAGGTGGACTGTGTGCTCGTATGTCACCCCACCCTATAACAAAAAGAGATTAAAACATCGAACAGTTTGATAATAAACACCTTCGCGACTCAACGCACAGGTGAGCTCACCATATTTTCATACGGTCTTCGAGTCATTAACAACTCGCAAATAAGCAATAAATATTTATTTATATCAAAATATATTTAGTTACTTCCGTAAACATACCTTAAAATACGACATATTTTGAAATATACAGATATACGTCTTCAGTAGCCAAAGGATGCTGTCATCTTTGGCAATTAATAATATACAAAGCTCAAACAGATGAAAAGATAATCGCTCGTCTCCGTTTTCAATTGAAAGACAATATTTCACAGTGACAAAGCAAAGAACAACCAAATATCATAAAATAGCATACAAATATTTGAAAAAATCTAATTCTTTTAACTAATATTTCTTGGTGATTGCGTAAGGCAAAGAAGTTTGATTTAAAACCAAAACAATTACGGAAAGACAAGTGTTCCGCACGGTAGTAGGCTCCATATAGGTTAGTTCCTTTTACATATTTCTGCTTTTAATCACCAGTACACTTACTACAGTGTTCCGGTTTGAAGAGTAAAGAAACTAATATTACTCGTAAATATATATAATACAGCACGAACGGGTCTGCTCGACCGGGGAAGGACCACGCTCTCACAGAATACCAGCGTAAAAGAGCAGCTTAATGCTGCTGGTAATATTTTTTATATAAAAATTTTTTACGATCATAATCTGGTAGATTATCATCATAAAAAATTATAAGTCATAGTAACAAAATGTTTCTAACTCACCATAATTTTACGGATTTGATTAGAACTCTAATATCCTATTTATCCTTAGTTACGTTGAGCACTTTGTTCAAGATATAGGACATAAAGTAATACTGGTATGTTTTGCTTTACAGTCCATTACAATTTTACCACCTTAACAGAGACCTACCCCAAGGAATGCCACAAAGCACGGTCTTGAGCCACCTGCATCCTTCGACTTCCTGCATCACTCCCCAGACCGTTACTTCATCTAGTGGGGGGCTGCCCTACACTTTACTTACCACTACGAGGCTGCCACTCAAAAACCATTGACGTGACGATGAGCAATATCATAGCCGGCTCATTGCTACTTCAGCTTACTGATTCGTGATGAACCAGTTTATTAGGTTGTAAATTACAAGAAATATTAATATAAAATCAAAGACATTTAGGTATGTAGTGGTAATAGACCGGACATCAGCAACAAAATTGTCGTCTGTAACTTTTGTCCTATTGGATATATCTCCGATTTTTGTCATATAGTCTAAATGACGTCACCGAAAAGTTATGTATATTTTTAAAGAAAATATGCCCAGTTGTGCATTAAGGTATAGTAAGTCACGATATGGAGCAAAAAATGAACATGTTTTCGGTTTATTATCCTAAGAATAATTTACCAAATAATCTATAAATTTTGTTATTTCTGGTAGATTGTTGTAAAAGAAAGAAAAAATATTGTAATAAGTGCCCTCTGTTATCCAGTAACGTCACTATTTATTTACTAATATGTTAGTAATTGAGGACGTGCCTAAAACCGATTTTTACCTTATATTTAGAAGCGTCACCTAATGGGAAATACCTAAAATGTTTTCAAATAATATTCAGCGTCGTATTGCCATTTTTCGCTAGAGGGCTTAACACACGCGCGTGCTCACAGTTTTTGTATGGAAATGTTCCCAATGTCCGCTCTATAGTAGATATATATTTAAATCGCTTTGTATAAAACACTAGCCATACGCCCCGGCTTCCCACAGTTAATTTATGTAACTCGACCACAGCGCCACCTACTGGGTCCAATTGTGAATCTAAATCATTCTGGGGCCCCAATCAAACACACAAAAAATTTCATCATAATCGTTCGATGAGGAGTTCAGTGACAAACACAAGTACACAAAAAAGAGTTTACAAATATATATATATATAATATATATATATATATATATATATATATATATATACCTTCTTGCATAAATACAAAAGGGATGATATTATATTGTGATCCTTTGATGAACCATTCGAAAATATTTTGCTTGACAGAGCAGGCTCTACGGGTAGAAGTTCGTCCGTGTGAACTCGGAAGAGTTTAGTTACGCTGAACACTGTAAATTCGTTCATTTGGGTTAATTAGTGGAATAATTACTGTATACAAATACACGCACGCATCTCTATACCTGAATGTTTCTGTCTAAAATTGTTTTTTTTACGTCAGTATAACATTGCTATGAACTCTACAATAAACATACAATAAATATGTAATCTAAACCTAAGAAGATACGACTGTATGTTCTAATACATCATCATCATCATCATCATCATTATTAATACAGTCCTTCACAAATTCACTGCTGAACATAGAGCTCCACCAAGGATCGACTTCATGCATGTCGCACCATGTCCACTCCACCCGGTAGGGGATTTCTCTACCCTTCCCTTAGAAAGTTTTTCTAAATACAACTAATTATCTACATAAATTCACGAATAAAGCATTATGATTTTATCTCATGATCTCTTTAACACTACAAGAGAAGTGTTTCAGTAACCACTTTTTAAATTCAAATTTAAAATAATAAATATGTAATATCTTTATATTGTTTCGTAAAATGTAATAAAAAAGTAACAAACATAGTGTACACATTTTTTTTAACAAATATATATTTTCATAAATTCATGTGAGCCTTTAAGGATTACTATAAGGATTCTACTGATTCATATACTGGGTGATTTTTTTTTACCGTCTGGAAAAAATAGGGTGTAACAGGTAAACGGAATAGAGGCCTATGGCACTGATATTTTACATTTTTTTATTTTACATTAACATATAATGAAATTAATCTTTCAGTAAATACTACTAATTTGAAATGACCTTTGGTACTAAAAAAAAATAACAACAAAATTTTTGAATTAAATAAATAAATCAATTAAAAACTATCGAAATTAAAATAATGCGTACCCAATCATTAGTATTTGTTGATATATCAATGTAATAATATGTTAATGTAAAATAAAAATAAATTGTAAAATATCAGTGCCATAGGCTTCTATTCCGTTCACCTGTTACAACCTATATTTCCAGACGTTAAAAAAATCACCAGTATGCGTCCCTCAAGTATACAGCCCTCCTCTGGTCCAATTTCTGAGAGTTTTTAGGGCATAAAGTGTCGGCCGCACACAATCGACCAAAAATAACTTACTAATTAATGGTGAGGTCAGTTCAATCACACCCACGCAAACGCAAACTATTATTTTAGCGAAGACAATAAGTACAGTGGGGAAAGACTGTAAGTATAAACTGATCGGACAATGGCGAGTCATCTTGGCTGGCAAGCTGCCGTTTAGGTGGATATGAATTGAATCCCTTACAATTTTTCCAGCAAGTAGCTCCGTCGCGCTTCCAGCGCAGTGGTTGACTTACTAAAGGAGTCAAGTAAACAGCCAAAGTAAGTACTTACAGTGCATAAGTAAGTTATTTTATTAACTTCCCAGTGTCCAGTGTGTGTCAACGTTTCAAGGTTTTTAGAGTCGAATAGTATGGTTTTTAAGAGGATGTCCGTGTGTGCACATGTATGTATGTATTTTCGTATTCAATTCGCCTCGTGTATCTCGAGAACAAAGAGTGATATTGATATGGGAACAGTTTCATTTAACGCATAATTATGTAACTTAGACCTCATAAAATTTTGAGAAAAATCAGTCAAGTCATTTTTGGTGTCGAATGAGAAATTGTATAAAATATTAAAACATATGATATTTTTTTATTCTTTCCTCTGGGAAGTTAGTCGTGTGGACCTTTCGTGTCGCACCTAGACCGCTTTTTTACCTTATTAGTTTCATAACTCAGGACCGTGCTTTGTGGCATTACTTGGGGGAGACCTATGTTCAGCAGTGGATTTGTGAAAGGCATCATTACAGATGATGATCATTATTATTTTTAAATTTGTATAAAACTTCTTGTTCTATTTGTTCCACAATTATCGCAACTATTCACCGAAAAATCGCACAAAGTTTGCGACGTTTCTTTCATTCTCCATCAATCAATGATGCTTGACTGGCCGTAGTGACCAGTCACCATTTAGGCGCTGATCATTGCCTTCTATACTTGTACTCGCCACTTCGTTAAACCCTTGACCAAAGTAAGTTAGGCTTAAGTAAGAGTGAAAAATTGCACCTCAAATGACACATTGACACTTTTACCCATTCCGATAAAAGCTCAAGCTATCCTCTATAATCCTTGAGGAAATAGGACAAGTATGAAATACCTCGTTAGCTATGTTTAAGCCTTACCTTAACTAATATCTCCAATGCCTCCACATAGGACTTCTCAGTTTCGTAAAGTTCGACCACGACGTGCGTCCTCGTGTCCTGAAATTTAAAAAGATCTATAAGTAAAAATAAAAAGCAAAAAAATATACTTAAATGTTAAGTTTATTGAATACGAAAATTATAGTACATATATATATATATATATATATATATATAATATATATATATATATATATATATATATATATATATATATATATAGTAGCGGCTCAATAGGTTTTGAAATATGTATAACTAATTTTTTTTTAATATTTAAAGGTGACATACAAGTACAAAATTCACCTGATGTTAAGTAAATACTGTGTCCTATAGACACTTCCATTTATCTTTGACGAGGAATTAAAGATGGAATGGATTGTTACCAATAAAAAGCGTCTTCAGTCAAACGCACCCCATTTGAAATTTAACAGGTATTATATGCTGCTATTTCATTCTGGTATTCTTTGCGAGCCTACGTGCTGCAGCATGACACTACCACTTACCGAACAAAATCAGCAGCTATAAGCCAGCACTTCAATACAATCCCACCTGATGCCAAGTGGTGATGTAGCCTAAGATGGCGAAGCGCACTGACTTAAGAAAAGCATATTCACCCTTGCCTTGAAGACACCCACATTATAATCGGATGGAAAGACAGATGCTGGCAACTTATTCCACTCCTTTGCTGTATGCATGACGAACGACGTAGCAAACCGTTAGGTGTGAATGCGTGGTAAATCAACAACGAAAGGTTGGAGATTGGCCGAGCGTCTGGTTTTCCGATGTTCCACCATCGGGAGAGGGACGAATTTAATTATGCAATTCCTGCGCACACTATCCGAAATGCATCCCGTAGAAAACCGTAAGGCTGGCTACTTTGCGCCTATTTTCGAGGCTGGTAAGATTAGTTTTAACCAAATCCGGGTCACCAATAATCTGCAATGTTTGTGCTAACAGCTGTTTTTTGATCAAAAACACTCCAATCTATTTTTCTTCTGTTTTTCTATTAATTTTGCTCTATCGTTTACATAACTCTGCTATTTCTTTTAGCTTGCTTTAATTGTAATGAATGTTAATATTATCGTAAGACGAGAACCTTCCATTAACGGATTATACGATGTCCTAATAAAACAACGACATTATCGAGACCACTTAATAATGGGTTATGTGTAAAATCCATGATCATGTTAAAATATATATCATATGTTTTAATATATTATATGTATATAAGGTCGGTGGGAGCTCCAACTGCATTTTGAGGGTAGTATCTGATAAATTTGATTGTCATCATTATCATAAATATGCATGTTCGTCAAGGGATGTCGCAAATTACTACCACTACCATTACGTCTTATCAAAGTAACCTGAAAACAGGCCGTCCCCATAGATTGCTTTAGTTTTAGAGCCATGTTGCAGCTATATTAATTGTATAGTTGTAGCACGAATGGGTCGGCTCGACCGGGGAAGGACCACACTCTCACAGAACACAGCGTCACATAGCAGCTTAATGCTCCTGTGTTTCGTGTGTGAGAGAACCTGAGACCCATTTTACTGGAAAATAGGCATTCCATCTTAGTCCTCAAGGCTGACAACGCATCTTCATTTTGATTCGCAATCAAGGATAGATTTAGATGTCTATGGACCACAGCAACCACTTACCATCAGGTGGATTGTATGCTCGCTAGTCACCCTTTTCCTATAAAAAAATTGCTTCATAGGGGGGACATTAGCCATAGTAGCCACGCTTGGGAATCTGTTGGCTGGTGTACTATTCTTATTTCAGTAGTCAAAAGGAAGACGCTCTTAGTTTCCCTCTGTCGCCTCTAGTGGCACCCACGGGAAGATCAGGGTAGTGGATATTGTTACACCGCCACTACATAGTCAGCGAAAACTAGCAACTTTACCCGGCACTGCCTGGGTAGGATTTATTATTGTGTCGTTAATTAGATTTAAGATAATCATCCGAGATCATTTATTTTATAAATTGTCCGAATTCTCAAATAAAAATCTCCAAGATTTTTTTTATTTATATACTATAAATTAAAATAAACCAGACTGTTTTTTTTTTTCAAATTATAATCCGTTACTCCATTACAACAGGTTGTTCGCTAACTACAATATTTTATATACTTAGTTCATAAATATATTATTATACCCCCCCCCCCCACACACACACGTGAGCGTTTGGAAATATTTCTTTTGGTTGATTTTGGACTTGTAGCCTGCCTTAATGGGACTTCAACGCAAAACTAGGCACAATAGGGAACGGTGAGCTGAAGGATGGGAAATTTGGGATAGGGCAACGGAACCCAAGGGGCCTTCATAGAGAAAGAGGGACTCTTTATTATGAACTCTTTCTTTCATATTTATTAAAAACCCTTTCAGCTCAATAAAAGGTAGTTCTTTTGAAATTACAGACAGATACTACAATTTATATTTATCTAGATAATTCCTACTATTATAATTTAATAAATTACTAACATATTATGTAATTTATTAAATTATTGTGGGTAGTTTTGTGTTAAATAAATTGTTATATTTTAATTTTATTGTTATATTTAATTATAAGAAAGAGTGATTAGGCTTTTGTTACGTTAAGACAGTGCGGTTTATCATCTAGTGCTACATCACCACTTACCACCAGGCGGAATCGTGGTCAAACGCTGGTTTATAATAAGTTAATATATATATATATATATATATATATACATTATTTTGTACATTTTACTGACCGAGTTTGTCATCAGACTGAACACAGTATAATCTCAGCTGGAGTGAAAACTTGTGCAAAAAGCCGGTGTTGAATACTAGGCTGCACTAAAAGTATCGGAAATGGAATATTTCCACTGTTCCTGTCATATTAAAATCTTTTTAATTGAAAACTCCTTGGTTTTAAAAATCGAATACCATTTATTTATTTTAAAAAGATTCTCGGTCTTGCCACAAGGTTTTGTCAAACTTGTTTAATCGTTGAGAAAATGGAATTGACTCGAGAAAATTCAAGAGCGATGATTTATTATGACTTTCGAAGTGGTTTAACACAAAAACAGTGTGTTGACCGGATGACTTCTGCATTTGGTGATGAAGCCCCTTCTAAAACCACAATTTATCGCTAGTTTGCTGAATTTCAACGTAGACGTGTCAAGCTCAGTGATGATCCCCGTCAAGGTCGTCCAAAAACTGCAGTCACCCAAGAAAACGTTGATACTGTGCGTAAGCTGATTGAGGAAGATCGACATGTGACATACCGCGAAATTCAGGCTTTAGACATTGGCATGAATCAAATACAAATAATCTTGCATGAACAATTAGGTGTAAAAAAGTTGTTTTCCCAATGGATACCGCATTCGCTCTGTGAAGAGCAAAAAGCGGCTCGCGTTACTTGGTGCGTCAGAACTCTCCAAAGATTCCACGCAGGATCCTCAAATGCTGTATACAACATCGTATCAGGTGACGAATCCTGGATATACGCGTACGAACCCGAAACAAAAAACCAGTCACGAGTTTGGGTGTTCGAAAATGAGTTAAAGCCAACAAAAATTGTTCGTTCACGGGGTGTTGCAAAAAAAAATGGTGGCCAAGTTTGTCTCCAAACCCGGCCATGTTACGACTATTCCTCTTCAGAGACAAAGAACGGTTAATGCAGAATGGTATGCTAGCATTTGTTTGCCACAGGTCGTTTCTGAACTCCGTAAAGAGAACTGCAGCCGCCGCATCATCCTCCATCACGACAATGCGAGTTCTCACACCGCACACACAACAAAAGAGTTTTTAGAGCAAGAAAACATAGAATTATTACACCATCCGCCGTACAGCCCCGAATAATATTTCTATACTTTCCCTAATAAAGAATAAATTGCGTGGACAGAGATTTTTATCACCTGAAGAAGCTGTGGACGCCTACAAAACGGCATTTTGGAAACCCCTACTTCCGAATGGAATGGTTGCTTCAATGATTGGTTCCATCGTATGGAAAAATGTGTCAAATTTCGCGGAGAATACTTTGAAAAGCAATAAATACATTTTTAAATAGTAATGTTGTGTCACTTCCTTGATTCCCGAAATTTTCAGTGCCGCCCTCGTATCTCTACTTTGTACCAATACTTTTCATAATATGACTCCGTCTCACTACGATATACCGGGCAGTCGATAGTTTCCCACAGTATTTTTTAGTTTATAGGTTTATACGTTCGTAATGTTCGAGTTGGAGGGTTTCAATATAAAAAGGAGGCAAAGCCGTGGTGTTGGATGTTACGAACGTAGACTGTAGACACTTTGTCGGCCTCATGGTAACCTCATTTAGGGCCGGGCCGACAAGCGTCAGAGAAGGCTGAATTAAGTAAATGGCGCAAATATGAGACTTCAAGAGATGATAATATATTTGTGCCATTTGCTGAAAGGTCCACTGGTCTATGAGGTTCAAACACGGTAAAGTACTTAAGTATATCTGCGATTGGTCGTCATCACAGTGCAAAGGCTATTTTTTTTTCTCGTCCAAAGGCCAAGTATAATCATTCAGCAACGCTACCTGCGTAGGGCTTATTGATAATTATAGTTTTTATTATTGTATACAATTAGTTGTGAAAGGTATGAAAACGTAAGTTTATTTATTTATTAAATCGATAAATATAAATAACAGAACATATAATATACATTTTAACCTCTAGTATAAATGGTCTCTAGTAGTAATAGTCCCCTAATAAAACCAAAACTAGTAGGACGACAAAGACATAAACACAAAGTGCTATACTATAACTAATATACTAAAAAAATAGCAAACAAGCTTTGGTAATAATTATACACATTTCGAAAATCAACTGAAAAAAAGCAACTACAGTACACCATACTAAAATCGACTAAAATATTTACATAATTTTGTCAAAATGGCGCCGATAAAGCAGCGCCCTTTCCCCCTTTATTATTTGATTGACCGCTGAATAGCTATCGTATCATAAAGCCATCTATGTAAACAAGGCTATAGTTTTTGAGTTAAAGAAAGTGACCATATTACTCTCACGTACTATAATCGAAATACAGTGGACCCCCGGTAATCCGAAAAA